ATCCAAGCTACTCTCTCTAATTCACAGGTGGTGGGCACTTTGGTATTTTAGCTTGTATAAAGTTGGAAGGCAAAGCTGCACGAGTTCCCCCAGTTGAGGTCTCTTTCTCTCTCTCTCTCTCTCTCTCTCTCTCTCTCTCTCTCTCTCTCTCTCTCTCTCTCTCTCTCTCTCTCTCTCTCTCTCTCTCTCTCTCTCTCTCTCTCTCTCTCTCTCTCTCTCTCTCTCTCTCTCTCCCTCTCTCTCTCCCTCTCTCTCTCTCTCTCTCGCCCTTCCTCTCCCTCTTCCTTCCTCTCCCTCTTCCTCTTTCTCTCTCTCTCTCTCTCTCTCTCTCTCTCTCTCTCTCTCTCTCTCTCTCTCTCTCTCTCTCTCTCTCTCTCTCTTCTCTCTCTCTCTCTCTCTCTCTCTCTCTCTCTCTCTCCCTCCCTCCCTCCCTCCCTCCCTCCCTCCCTCCCTCCCTCCCTCCCTCCCTCCCTCTCTCTCTCTTTCTCTCTCTCTCTCTCTCTCTTCTCTCTCTCTCTCTCTCTCTCTCTCTCTCTCTCTCTCTCTCTCTCTCTCTCTCTCTCTTCTCAGCTCACTCACAAATTCACTCACTCTCTTAGCCTCTACTTTTCTTCCTCTGTGTGTATGTGTGTGTGTGTGTGTGTGTATTTTTCTAAACCCTACAGTCCAGCGGCGTCAGCTCGTGTGACTCAGAGCGGAGTGCGCTCTCACCGGTGTCCGCCGTGCCCACCTCGTCTTGCCAATCCGTCGGCGAGGTCACCTCTGCCTGCTCCACATCCTCAAGCTGCACGTCCCTTAAGTCACCCAGTGCTGTCGCCTCCGGAGCCGCCGTCGCCAATCGTAGCAAAATCTCGTCAGTTGGTACCAAGGAGAGCGTTTCCTCCCCAAGCAGTTCCTTACACGTTGTCGAGTCCTACTTTTCCGATGTGGATGAAGTCGACGATTTCCCCGTGATTCAAAACAAGCCTTCGGCCATGTTGCCAAGCAACCAGGAACCACCGCCGCTAGAGATCATAACCGACAGCTTGGTGGCTATTGATGCACAGATCGTCAATGTGGAGGAGGTGAGTTCCTGATTCTTCTATCATTGTTGTTGGTGTTGGAATGGTGGTGGTGGTGGTGGTGGTGGTGGTGATGGTGATGGTGGTGGTGGTGCTAATTCTGTGTGTGTGTGGGGGGAGGGGGGTCTGCTGTCGTTTCTCCGTGTGTTGCATTTTGTACTGCCGTAGGTTCTGTTTTCGCTGCTGCTGTCACCCCCCCCCCCCCGTGCAAGTTCAGGACCCCAAATACAGTCAGCTTTGCGTATGGCGACTCTCGGCGGGGCATCAGAAAAGTGTTCTTATTCACGAAGTCTCCTTATACCCGAAGTCTCCTTATACGTGTATGTGCGTGCGTGCGTTTGTTTCCATGACGTGTGCTGTAGGGCATCGCCCGCGGCACGCTACGGCTGACCAGGGATCGCATTGACTTCCAGCCGTGGGGCGCCGACCGGCTGGTGCGCTCCGTCGGCGCCGAATCGTTTGTCTGCAGCATGCATTTCTCGTCTGTCACGTCTCTGGGCATGTTCCCGGACCTGGTCAAGATGTCCGTTCTCGACAAACCCGTGCCCATGAGGTAAGATGTCGTCCGTAATTATCGGTCTTTTGCTGCACGCAACCAAAACGTTTTGTTTGTTGGGTGGGTTGGGGAGAGTTTCCCCCATATGCAGAAAAAGTCACAAACTGCACCCCACCCTCTGAGTTTCCTGTACTCTTGGTCGAAGAGATCATCCTGCCATACATGCCTGAGTGTATGCATGCACATATAGTCTCGCATTGTGTCTGAACTCTGCGTGTGTGTGTGTACTTGTGTGTACGTGCGTGCACGTGTGTCCTGTGCATTCTCCGTGCAGCCGTAGCCGCTCGCAGACGTCCGACTTTCTGTTCGTGTCGTGCGACGAGTGGTCACTGATCGCACCACGCGCCCACTGCACCCTATCAACGGAAGCTCCACCACCAGCATCACAGCCGTCAGCGCAGCAGCCAAGCCAGGCCACAACGCAGCAGCAGCAGCCATCACCATCAGCTGGTGCTTCTCGTGATAACAAGGACAACAACGGCCTGCCAGTACTGCAGACAGCGACGTCATCGTCAACAGGTGCACGACCGTCTCCGGCCATGCGATTGCGAGCGATTGCAGCGTCGTTCACGCCACCGCTGGTCCGCGCCAGTAGCAACGGGTCTCGAAGGTACGTCTTCGGGTGCTGTAGAACATGTAATTATTTTAGGTGCATTAAAATTTCGGTGGCAGAGACCTGCCAGGTTTCAGGTGTAATGTAGAATTAGGTGACCAGCATTCCGTTCACATACAGTGCATACTCTAGTGCCTTTTAGGTGTAATTTAAATTTAGGTGGCTGATTTCTGTACCGAGATCACCGAAATTAAAGTTGCACCGAAAATTTCATGTTTTACAGTACATTGCGAAGAGCTGCGCTCCGGTCCTCTGAGCTATGCTGAGGAGCTCTAACAGAGCGAAACAGCTGCTGGCCACGGATTTGAGTGTTTTGCAGTGCGAGTACATGTACATACAGATTGGGCATGCGTACTGGGAAACCTGTCTAAGACGACCGGCCGCTCAAGGGACCTTCAACATGTGGTCTCTGTAACCAGGTGGTCTCCTTATCCGGGGTCGTTTGACTGGAAATAGCATCCCTTGGCGCTGGTTGCAGTGGCCTTCTAGGACAGGTGGTGGCCTTATCCGAGTGGTCGCCTTGACAGGTTTACTGAACATAGAGGGGGGGGGGGGGGGGGGGGGTGCAATCTCTGGAACGACTGGGTCGTTAGTTGGCTTGCACATTGTGCGGGTATCCGCATGAGTGGAACGAGATCGATGGGAATCAGTGGTACAGTCAACTTCGCTAATAACGTCTGCGGATATAACGACAATTCGTGAATAACGACAGAATTTCCATGCCCAGAGCAAAGTCCCATCCCACTGTAATACATATAATGAGACTTCGGGTATAACGACACTTCGCGAATAAGGACACCTTTTTGACGCCCCGCCGAGTGTCGTTATAAGCGAAGTTGACTGTATGCCCTCCCTGGGGCGTGTACGGTCCCCTCATGCACGCTGGCCATGTGGAGTACAGCATTGTACTGTTATTATGTGGTGCTAGCAACCCATGTCATCATCCTGCAATGATGATGTTTCATTGTCCAGTGATTAGGTCATGCATGCAGTTATAGTGCTCCATCCGAAATGATTCCGTATCCCATGGTGGCGGCTTACTAGCAAACCCTGTTGGTACATACGAACACACAATACAACTCGTATACAACTTTGCTGATCTACGAAATTGTGCTTCTTGGAAGTGATTTCAGTCTTCTTCTCCTCTTTCCTGTTCAGTGCTCCCAGCCCTGCACCCTCACCGGGGAAGAGCCCAATGCTGAGACAGACAAGCGGCAGTAGTGACACAAAGAGTGGCGGCCTGACTACTGCCGGACCCACAGGTAGTGGCTCGTCAATTGGTCGCAGTCCGAACAAGCGGAAAGGTCTCTTCCGGCAACGCTCCAGCACCCGTATGTAACACAGCTCGTGTTCTTCTTTTCATGTAGTCGGGAGATTGTGATGAGTGTCACCGCTTGTGACAAGTGCATTCTCTTTTTCATGTCTGTCTGTGTGTCTGTATGTGTATGTGTCTGTATGTGTCTGTGTCTGTATGTGGCCTCATCTCGGGCTCTGTCTCTGTATTTTTTTAAACATTTTTCTTCTTTTCTCGTTGTACCAGTATTAATATTATGCCGCCTGACCTCTTTGTGTGTGTGTGTGTGTGTGCGCGCGCCTGTGTGTGTGTGTGTGTGTGTGTGCGCGCGTGTGTGCGCCTGTGTGTGTGTGTGTGTGTGTTTCAGTGGATGATGACATGTCTCGGCCAGCGCTCCAACACATGTCTCTTCCCGGTTACCTGTGCATGAGAACGCAACCGCTGAGTCAGGAAACGTCCGAGCCGGAGAAGGAACACGTGTTTGCCATACCTGGAGTGAAGTGAGTTCTTGCTGCCCAGGGTCTGTGTGTGTGTGTGTGTGTGTGTGTGTGTGTGTGTGTGTGTGTGTGCATTATGGGGAGGGGCACATGTACCGGTGTGTGTGTTTGTGTATCTAACAGTATAACCAAGAGTAGATAAACAAGAGTGTGCAACTCGCGGATGGGTTGGCCCACGGCGGAATTTTTTGTTGACGTAATCTTTTCGACGACGCACGCGCTGCGAGCCTTTCGGAGAGGTTTCCCTCGTGCACTTGGCGGGGCTTTGGACTACAAGGTCGGTGCCCAGCACGTGCTCTCACACTGCTCTGCGGCAAAGTCCGCGTTTCCCTGAAAAAAGGTGACGTCAACAAAAAATTCCGCCGTGGGCGGGGGTATCTGCAGATTGTGCAGAAGAGATCCGGAGTTGCACACTCTTGTTTATCTACTCTTGGTATAACTGTATACCGTATATTCTGTATTATAAGCGTCGTGCTTCTATTTTTTCAACACCTCTCTACCCCGTGCTTATATTGGAGACCGTGCTTATATTTTTTTCAACCAATATATCCATACAGAGCAAGAAGAAATACATGCTAGATATCATGCATGCAGCATTGATTTCCACCAAGACCGTGCTAATAATAGAGACTGTGCTTGTAATGTTTCGAAAGGTGCTCACAGTGTGCTAGTAATGGAGACCTGTGCTTATAATAGAGAATATACGGTATGCATGATGTTGTGCGTGTGTGTGTATGTGTGCGTGCGTGCGTGCATTTACGAATTACGACTTGACCGAGATAGACCCTGCTCTGACTCCCATTGTCTGTTTTTTTCGTCGTGTGTTTCATCTTGTTCTTCATGCATTCAGAAAGCAGTTGGTATTCGACTTCCTCTGCCACAACATCCGCAAGCTGAAGAACGTTCCCTTCTCGGAGATATCTCTTCTCTATAACAATTTGCGAAGTAACGCCGCCAACTCCAGTTCCGGTGCGGCCAACGGCAACGGTGTTGGTGGTGTAGCTGGCGTTCCTGATGCTGTTGTCGGTGGTGTTGAGGTGACGTCCGCGCCCGTTGGTAGCGTCGGCACTAGTACAAGTGTGCCGGGCGGCATGGTGCGAGTTGTCTCCTCCGGCTCGGATGTGGTACGTTTTCAAGTGCTTTCGCATCTTTTCACGAGTTTCAGATACTCCAGATTACGCTAATATGCATGATCGGATAGGGTCGTGACCTGCAGAAAAAGTGTGTTGCCGGTTATGTTCAATCTTTTGGTGTGTAATGTTTGATTGCGGACCCCCCCTCTATCTTCCTCTCTCTATGTCTCTGTCTATGTCTGTATCATACACAGAGTCCACACCACTATCCCAGCGACTATGCCGTCGTGTCCATGAAGAAACGCTCCCAGTCGATGGGCAGTGATCCTCGGTCGGCTGGCAGCATGGTGGCGCGTAGTCTCTCCATCGAGGAGGGCTGGTACTATCTTGAGCCGAGCGACTTGGATTCGCCAAAGCCTGCACGGTAAGTGAGCAGCACGCATGGCCCATGTATTACACGAGTGCTGGCCATGGGCATGGTCCCTGCATAAAGGCCGATTCGTGCTTCATTTCGCGTACGGGAAACGCGTCGCGAAAAAGTTGATCCGAGCTCAACTATTTCGCACACGGGAAAGTCGTCGCCCGGCGGTCGCACGATGGCTTTCCCGTACACGAATTAAAGTATGAATCGGCCTTTGCGCGAGTGCTGGGCGTAGAAAGCGTACACTTTACAAGAGAAGTTTTTTAATGACTAGTGTACCAGTTAGCTAACTCGACAGCCCTCAAACTCATACTTTATTTTATCTGTAGCACGTTATAATCACAAGTGCTATGTCCATTGTACTTAGGGGTCGTCGGAAAAGTTTTTTTGTCGTCCCTGAAGCGAGCATCATTTGTTTGGGGGGGGGGGGGGGGGTGCTAGCCAAAATCGCAAGGCGACCGACACCGTACATATGACATGTACATGCAGGTGATTTTCGTCGTCCAGCACAGCAAGCTGCGTTTGTTTCAGAGGGAGGGGAGTACGAAATGAACAATGTTTGTTTCGGGGACGACGAAAAACTTTAGCAACGACCCCTCACTGAAGTTTCGCTGTACGTGTATATTGTAGAATGGGTAATTTTAGCGTTTTCCCATTGTCAACCGGTTAGCGACGTTTTATTTTAGCGATTTGCAGCGATTTTACTCACGGATCACCAGTGCACTACTAATGTCTCAACGGATTAGCGACTTGCAACTTTAGCGAAAATGAGTAGATCGCTAAATTCGCTAGGGTTTTTGTTTTTACGTCGCTAAAATTACCCGTTCTACAGTACCGTAGTGTAGTCTTGTATTGTACTTGTAGCCTGTCTCACATGCTAGAAGCCTGTTTCCGATACAAGCCTGGTCGTTCAGGATGCACTGGTGGCACATAAGCCTAGTGGTAGTGATGACGTACATACATTTAGAAGTGTTTGTGTGTGCGTGTGTGTGTGTGTGTGAGTGACTATGTGTGTGCGTGCATGTGTGTGCATGCATATGTGTGTGTGTGTGTGTGTGTGTGTGTGTGTGTGTGTGTGTGTGTGTGTGTGTGTGTGTGTGTGTGTGTGTGTGTGTGTGTGTGTGTGTGTGACTTGAATGCAAGCCTGATTTGATTAGAATACTACTAGCATTGGCGTCGGCTTCTGTAGGAACCAGCCCGGCTTTTATACGCGGACGTTATGGTAGAGTACTGCTCAAAGAAATCCAGTCGCGTCACTCATGTACGCGCCGGGCGTTGCGCAGCCCTAGGCCTGCGAACACTGGGCTTCGAAATGGTGCAAGGCGCAAACTGGAGTGCCGCGGCTGGATTTCACTGAGCAGCACTTTATAGTTTGGTATAGTTTTCTTGTGTTGCAATCCACTGTTGTCATGAAATCGAACACTCGGCTGCAGCTGCAACTTCGAGAGCATGTGTGTGCGGACGTGTATTGTATTGGCCACCATTTCGTTAGTTGTGCGTTCGACAACCTTATTCCACGCCTGATTCTTCGTCATTTTGTAAGAGCTTGGACAATCCACTTGTTCAGGCAAGAAGGCAGCAATGCGTGCTCATTCTGGCGAAGTAAAATAAAAAATATACCGACCGACTAACCAGCCATGTTGCTGGTCTGTTAACATTTGCGGAGAACGTTGTCCATGCAAGAAACGCCGTCTCTTGCAGCATGTGTGTACGTGTGTGTGCGGACTTGTGTTCACAACCATTTTGCCAGTTGTGCGCTTCAACACCAATATTCTACGCTTGACGTTGCTGTTTTTTT